AGTTGTTTGTTGCACAATTTTTCCACGCCTGACGACGACCGGTTGGTCCGTGTCGAAAATTCACGCAATGAAATTGAAAATTTTCCAAAGAAAGTCATATTCTCATAATTAATATCTTGGGATGCAAATATTTCAATACTAATTATTCTGTATAATTAAGCCGGTCCTTTAACTTTTATGGTTTTCATCCCCCTAACCCCCACCCTCCCCCCCGCTCTCACGCGCGCAGGCACCTGAGCCCCTAAACGAGAGTGGAATGGCCGTGTTCGAGGTGGGTGTCCCAACCGGCTACGTTTCGCTCAACAATGAACTGCGTGACTACGTGCGAAGCCGTGCCGTCCCCAGTCTTCGCTACGCCCGGTTCCGCCCGGGAACCGTCCATTTCTTCTTCGATAAGGTGACCGTCATTGGAATTTTGCTTGCCAATTGCTGCTTTGATAGACAACCTCCACGCCACATCGCCGGCTGGCGTGATAGTTTAACTTTAGGCGTTACGAGCAATTGCGGAGGTGAGATTGGTTGGTGGCTATATCAACCATATATGCAGACACATTTTTAAAGAACAGGAACGGGTCACCGTGCTCTTACTTGGGTCACCAGTCCACTTAAATGGCCCAATAGTCTCCCCAAGTCAGAATTTATTCAACTTCTATGTTGGCCTGTCAGTGCAGGAGACTAGGCGGTCACACAAATAATTTCCAACTGTGGTGGTCACACGTCATCCAGAAGGACAGCCTGATGTCTGAAGGAAGCGGGCGACCGTTTTGGTGCCTGTTAGTAATTTGCTGATTGGCTCAATTCGACGGCTTTCGATCGCGTAATCAGGTTGCTTGCTTGTATGTGAACCCAAATGCCAAGGAAGTGCCCAACATCAAGTAAAAAGATTGGCCTGCTAGATTAGGTAATCGCCAGGTTAATGTATTCATCCCTGAGCTACGACACAGGAGCACGCTGGTAGGAAAATGGGCGTTGTTCAAGGTACTCCATGGAATAGCCCAAATGCGTAAGACTCACGCATTGAGGAAGCCCATATTTCACGGCTGTCCATTGCACTTTCAAACGACTGGGAAGGCCTAGCAATTTGACTAAAGCAGTTTAGCTTAAAATAAACGAACTAAAAGGGGCCTGTTCTGTCTAAGTGGATATAATTTCAAAGACAATGGCTGCAACAAACGTGCGGGCACGTCTAACTTTATGAGAAATATGTGAAATGCGTTCTAAATTCGAAAACTGAAGTTCACTCAATTCAACCAGTCCATAACGCCCTATTATAAAGAAGAGTTTCTGATGGCGCTTTTCAAGTAAGAAGCGATCACTCTTAAAAGATTGGAAGGATTCTAGCGGTGAAAAGTTTTGATCCGGAAAGGTGGATGTAGCGGGAATTGGCTACTTTGGGACGAATTCAAGAAGGTATTTGCGTCTCATCACGTAGCAGTCGTTGCTTCACCCACTGCGACGTAGTTACAAACGCCGCAGGCGTGAACAATAGATCATAGTTTATCGTGTATTAGTTGACCTAGGCGTAATCTTGTTTGTGATACACTGCCTGCTCAAGCAATCCGGACAGGGGAAAATATGCCGAGACAATTCTGTAATGATTAGGGGTTTGGCAGATTTGCTTAATTTGAGTTGACCAAATTGTGAAAAAACTTGAGCCGTTGGCTTCCGGTAAAGGCCTTCTCTAATACGCGGGTTCAAATCCCGCCGAACGCCTCGAGTTTTTTCACAATTGGGTTAACTCAAATTCTCTAATGATCTGTCGTGTTAGTTGCAGTAACCAGCCTGTCATTTACAATGGTCTAACTGAAAAATTGCTCACAATGTGAACTATACGTAGTGTAGACGGAAGTGTGCTATAGGCAGTCTCTGCGACAACCATCAAAGGTCAGAGGAAAAACTGGAATCTGACAGTTCGATTCCAATTGAATGGGTTCGAAGAGTTAACCTAACCGAACCTGTGAACCCCCTGCCACCGGCCCAGGGTGCGACTAATTGTACGTTGAATGCGTCGGCTGGATATTCTCTTCCGAGTTCCACGTTCATAGTAGGAGGCCTAAGCACACATTGTACGTTCTCCGGACAGGGGAAACTTACTGTCTGTATAAACGCCTCCTGTGCATAAAATGTTGGGTCAGTTAGCCGTACGGCCGCTGCCTCTTTGTCGCTAGTATCCGCTGACACAGGAACTTGAAATTTTTCGTCGACACAAAGTGACTGTTGTCAACCAAGTGAGCCAACATTGCGCTAAAGGTGAACTTTACCATGCCTCGGTTTTGCCAGAGATAATGGTGTTCTCGTATCCGCCTGGATAGGTGCCTAGTCGTTCAACCAATAAAACCTTGATCTCTAAACGCCTCCAACCCATTCCCCATACTTACTGCTAATTGGACGTTTACACCTAGGGAGTTCGAAGGCGTTTGCCTATATTGCCCTTAATAAACTTGACTTGATATTTTTATTCTATCCTCCCGTATATTATTGTAAATGCCTGATGATAAATAATCGAAAACGTACGTTCGACAAGCTTGAACTCTTAAATATTTACATCGGCATCATCGCGGATCTCTGCTATTTATCGAACTCGGTTTTTTTCATGCTCCTTAAAGGATGTTGTTTTCCTACCTAGCTGACAAGCGAACGAGTTTGTGTGGAGTACACAGCCTCGCGGTTCTACCCTGTTTCCAATGTCACATTGCAACAGGTCTGTTTGGCATACGAATATTACGAGCCGGGTAAGCACTCTTTTACTGCTACTGACTTTTAGAGATACAAACAGAGTCCCACCGAATTCTAGATACAGATGTTTACTCTATAAACTCTATGGAAAGTTGAGGCTAAAATCCTACTAATCTATCCTGTGCTGCTAAAGACAGATGAATGGGCGACAACTTGAAGGAACTCAATTCAAGTTTCGAAAGACGATATCAAACATCTTACTTGCATAAACATACATGAATATATATGCAGAAGTAACGAGAAAGACAAGGACGATTAGGATGGCTATTTTGGCTTATTAGCCCTGAGTTTCGATGGCCGCTAACTGTCTATCATAGGGCTCACCACGGAAACCAAACTCCCGGAATTATGTCATAGGTGACCAGTGGTAATGATAATTTACTTTTGTTTTTAATTTATTATTTTATTTTGTTTAATTTATGATCCATTTTTTATATTTATTTTTCAATTATCAAACATTTTAGTTGCTATATATTAGCTTTTATAATAATTCTATCTACTATTTCCTGTTTTTCTTTGGTTTATATCTTTTATTTTGTCTCATGCACCCCCGTGTTGTCCTATCCTATAACCCATATTACCACTGGTCCTGTATTACAACATTAGAGGGATTTGGTTTCCGTGGTGAACCCTATAATAGATTGTTACTGGATGACCTTATATTTAGACCCGGATACTGTGGGTATTGACCATTCACTTATCATTGAGCAAATGACAGTTTTACTGGGGGATATTTACGTTCACAGGAACTATGGCACTAGGCATTTGAATATCATGATGAAAAAGAGGGAATACTTTGGACGAAGTGGCTTTTAATAGTACATTTTCGAGCTGATAACACCAACCCGTCGTCAGACGAAATTAGTAGAGAGAGTAGATTATTGCATTAGACCGTTCATGGTATTTAGACTATATCGACTGGTTCGCGTCCACAAGTGCAGTGATCGCAGCGGTACGGTAGTTCTCTGCGAGGTGGGAGTTTGGTTAAGGCTTTTTGTACCGGATGACCAGATACGCATTATCAGTTGTTGTCTTCGGACGGGCGCACAACGCACGCAGACCTTCGTGATCAACTGCAATGACAACTGATACGGCTTATGTTAGAGTACAGACCCTTGAGAAATACTCGCACCTAACTGGTGTTTCCCTTACCGATCACTTCCGCATTGTCCCAACCGAAGCAGTGTGCACTTCCAGGTGCCTGCATAAGGAGGAAAGACATGGAGTTATGTCGGCGGATAGCTAAATATCGTTAGTAAACGCTCATCGATCGCTAATGGACTCAATCGTCTCATTCTGACTTGGAGCTCACTCCCGAGCCC